AGTGTCTAAGAGCTGCTAAATCCTGCAACATGCCCTATCACAGAGAAACCAGTTTCTGAGGAAGTCAGAATGGAGCTAAAATTCTGGGGTTAGAGCAGTCAAATCATGTCATAGTGAGTTTTTTGGAAAGAGAGTAGGATTGATGTGCACAATACCCCTATTCTGCTATTTTCACACATTGAGCTCAATAAAGATTATTTATAATATTGGCATTTTAAAAAATTCTATGGTGATTCATCTCAGGCTTATGGATGCACTATGCAATAGGTTTCTGCAATGTGCTAGTTCATCATAGATCATACACACACACACACACACACACACACACACACACACACACACACACACACTTTTCCACAGCTGAAATTCGCTACATTTATCTATGAGTTTTAGGCTACCACAGAAGGCTTCTTCAAATAAATAAATAAAACTGCTTACTTTTATTAAGGTCTGCACATACTCAAGGAGGGACCCATGCTGGATGTTATCACTTAATAGTCTCTATCAGCTACCACCTCATGCTAACCCACCTTCTTCCCCCTGAATTTCAACAAATTTATTCTGTTTTTAAGATGGTTTCCAATGCCACTAGTTTCTTCACATACTTATCAGTACTATTTTCCAGGATGGTATGGTGCATATGGTGATATGTTAGGACAAGTTGGTCAACCTAAACTACCAAAATCAATATTTAGGTCACTGTCAGCATTATTGATAAGTAAAAATAAAGGTGAATAATTATAGAAAAGTGTGCTAGAGATTAGAGGAACTGAACTCTCACACAGTGCTATAAAAATAGTTCTTTGTTGGCCTGAAGTCTCTATTATACATTTCCTTTGCCTCTTTCTTTATTCCCATTTTCTATTCATTTATGATAACATAGAACTTCCTTTTACTAGAACTGCTATCCTCTAACCTTTCTGAACTCTCCTCCCTTTAAGTCTCTTTTCTTGTGTCTTCTGCTCACCTCTGTTCCTGCACCTCAATAGTGATCTTCATCACAACCTTTACCTGATAGGGAAGAGGAGAATGAAATCTAAAAGCAAGAAACTACCATGTTGAGATCTGTTTTAAAAGATAATTTTGGGCTTCACTATAAAGAACAAGAGTATAGGTGAGACTAGAAGAAGAAAAAACTCAGGAGGGAAACAGTGAGGCCCTGAATTAAGGCAGTCACAGTATTTGTGGGCAAAATTGGAAAAGATTTTTAAAAATATTTTAAAAGCATACTGAATAATACGTGATGTCTGACTATAACAGTGATAAAGAGTAAGGACCTAAAACAGCTTGCAGCTTTTCTAAGTATCACTATCTACTGATAGCTAGGTGTGATTCATTTAACAGATACAAGAAGCTAAGGCAGGGAATGAAGTCTGAAGGTCTCTGTGCTCAGGTTTGGGTATGCTGAGCTACATTCAGAGGTGATGGTCAATATGTCAGTGAGGCATCGGTGTTCTCAAACCACAGAAGGTTCTGTCTTGTAAAGAAAGGAGCTAAAGGTGTAGGGCAGGTGGGATGGGTAGGGGAAGGGTGATAAGGGAAAAGAAAAAAATGTGAGATAATGAAAAGATGGAAATAAAGTGCTTGTAAATGGGGAGGGGAGGAGGGGGTGAAGGGAGGGCAGGGGTAAGGGGAAAAAATGAAACAAAGACCTGTTATGTAAAGGTACAAGATCCCAATAATGAATGTAACTGTACTGTATCCCTAAAATATACCAATAAACTCAATTAAACCTGAAAAAAAAAGAAGAGCAACAATAAGAATATCCCCCAATCACTTCCTTCATTACTCATTCTTTTCTTTTTAATAAAACAAAACATATTTTGAGAAGCCACTGTATGCCAAGACTACAGATAGGCCCTAGAAAAAAGAAATAAAGTAAACATAGTGTCAACCCTCAGGGCATCTGTAAGGTGTAGTGGGTGCTGAGGAGCAGGGAGAGTTACCAGAGAGGGCTTCATGGAGGAGGTGGGATTTACTGAAGATAAGATGAGTGGAGGGCCGGGGATTTAGCTCAGTGGTTTGGTGGCCTGCCTCACAAGCGCAAGGATCTGAGTTCGATCCCCGGTACCAAAAAAAAGATGAGTGGTTACTCACTCAGGTTCATTAAGCAGCCTAACACCTGAAGGGGGACTACATGCTTGTGACTTGTGTTCAGTCTGCATAGCCCCTGTGGTTCCGGGCCAGCTGTGGGGCACATTCCTCCTGTAATATAATCACACACACTTTGCTCTGTTCATTTATATGTCTCCTGTGGAGTAATGTGACTTCTTTGTGGGAGACATTATTGTAATCTTCTCCCTCTTACATCTTGGTAACAAGATATGTATGAGGAACTCTTGGGATAGTTGGAGATACTAAGGCAGAAGTGAAATTTTAATCCTGAGTCCTGAGCTTTCTCTGGAATCATCCATCCACATCCCTGGAAAAGTGCAAATTCCAGGGAATACAGAAAGTGAAACATTTTGACAGAGCCCAGAGTCTTTAAAATTCAGACAAGTGCAGCAATTCTGCTCCTAGGTATTTACCAAGGAGAAAGGAAAACATATCTACAAAAAGATTAGGACAAGAATATTCACAAAACTTTACTCTTTAGACAAAAACTAGAGACCACCATATGCCCATCAACTGCTGAACAGAAAAACAAATTACAGTATGTCAACATAATTAACTATCACTTAGTGATATGAAGGGAGAGACAACTGATTCAACAACATGGATAAATCTGCATGGATAAATAAGCATTATGGCTGGGGATTTAGCTCAGGGACACAGTGCCAGCCTTGCAAATTCAAGGTCCTGAGTTCCATCCCAAGTACCAGAAAAAATATTTATCAGAAGCATTATGCCAGGTATATGGAGCCAGACATGAAACACTACAGATGCATGATTCTGTAACAGTTAATTCTGATATGTTGACTTCACTGGGTTGAGAAACACCAAACAGATTAGCAAAGCGTACTTGCAGATGTGTGGCCTTTGGATGTATATCTTGTTCCTCAGCCCTTCCTCTCCGGCACTGTCCTCCTGCTGTTTCCCTGCTGCTGTGAACTCAGCAGCTTTGCTCCCTCAAGATGTTTCTGCCTAAGAACTAGCCAGACATGGACTGAATCCTCTGAAACCATGAGCCAAATTAAATCTCTCCTCCTTTAAACTGTGAATGTTAGGTATCATGTCTCAGTGATGATGAAGCTAATACATTCTACTTATAAGTGAAATTCAAGAAAAGACAGAACTGAAGTCCTAAAGAGGATATCAGTGCTTCCAGGCCAGAGATGGGCTGCAAAGGTATCCAAGGTAAGCTTTGATGGAAGCATTCTCTATCATGATTATAACAGTAGTTACATTAGTGCACACATTTTCAAAATTCATTCAATTACCCACTAAAATTGGTAGTTTTACTTTATGTAAATTAGTCCTCAATAAAACTGATTTTTAACAAAACAAACTAGGCTACACTACGAAACAGGATCAAGCTCTACTAGCTGGAAGATGTTAGTGGTTCTCAGGAAGCTCTCAGGAAGCTCTCAGCCAGCTCTGCCTCAGCTTTCTGGCTCTCAAGCACATCTCTGCATAAATGCTTTGGCCTAAGACCCTGAGACTCCCTGGCTGCTCCAGACAGAGGAAGATACTAATAACTCACATTTAACCTGCTATGCACCTGCCACCCTCAGGGCCAGAATCAGACTGTTTCCCCCAAACAAATCATGATAAATAAACCTAAACGCTTAATGTACAAAACTGCTAGCCTGAAGATGGCAAAACTCTCCTAGACATACTGACTGGAGAAAAAATTCATCAGGGATTACACTTTCAGGAGTGTGACCATACAAGGCCTGCGATATAGGCTCTTGGCTCTTCTGCTAACAGTTTCTTAAGGAGTCAAGAGGCTGTGCTTATTTTTTGCTCAACATTTGAATCCATAATTTCTCTATAGCTATCTGAAAAGGCTGTGCTTATTTTTTGCTCAACATTTGAATCCATAATTTCTCTATAGCTATCTGATTCCATGTGGCCTACTGAAATTTTGCTTTTCCATTATCCCTATAATTACGGTGCCATGGTTGATAAGGCCATGGCCTAAAATGAATCTAAAAATGAATCTTTATGGTGACACAGGAAGACTGTATCAAGAATTGTGTAGAAAGTTTATTTCTTTATCGCCAAACACATTATTGTTCACTTTTTACTCTATCTCACTGACTCTGGCAAACAAAAATATAAGTGGGGAATTTCTGAATAGCTTTAAGTTCTATTTTCAGAATTCAATTACTATTAATAAAAAAGACTGTACCAAAAATTTATAAAAATTATTTGCTGCATACTTGTGTCATGTGAAGTAAACTTAGTCAGTGGACATCTGTCTGTATTGGCTATTTGTTGTACACTAATCACATCTTCACATTAACTGTTTGCTCTATGTGCCATCACTTTGTTTGTGAATAAATTCTCTGAAACTCAGAAAATAAGCAACTTAGTTACTTAACATTCAGCTAGACTAGAAACTGAATCTGTCTCTAAAACTATTTAAAAAACAAAATGTGGAAACTACATAAACTGTGAGTTAAAGCTTGGTTTAGTATTCAGATGGTCCTTTTACTAGCAGTGTAGAACCAAGCCAGGTAAATTAATATCTAGTTTAGTTTCCTTGCCTATAGAAGAAAGCAGACCCTGCTTCACTGAGCCCCAAAAACATTAAATAGGATAATTAACACAATGAGCACAGTAAGCATTAGCTACCTATATGATTACAAATGCTAACCTGGATTCAATTACAATAAACATGTATATGTAAATACCACTCTCAGTGGGCCAAAGGTTGAATTTCCACACTATGCATCCCACCCTACCTTTCAATTAGTCCGGTTCTTTTTCATTGTACTACAACATTGAATGGGGAAAATATGTATAAATCTTTAGGCTATGAGGATCATCTCTTTCCCAAAGTATCTCTAAAAATCAAACATGACCAGAACAGCCCGTCCCCCTTCATTGTTCACCTGCTCTGGATACTTGCTCCCAACGATCTCTGCTATAGTATTGAAGGAATCTGTGTCCGGGTAACTCTTTGCTCCCATTTTCAGCTGGATGACAATTTTGTTCCCACGAAGAGCCATTCTTGATAGCATTTCCGCATCTTCCACTGTGATACAGGCTGTTGGGATCTTGGGCACACCATCCTGATATTCCTGGATGCCTGTGTGAGGACTTGAGAAAAGAAGCCACTAGGTTACCTTAAAGATTAAAATGGACCCAAAGCCCTCACACACTGACAATTCACTGACCTTTATGTAAGGGGAGCAGGAACTGTGGGCAGTATTGATTTGCTTTTGATGTAAGCATAATTTTTGTTTTTTATAAAAACAACTTAGAAAGTTTTATTTAATAACAATCTCATTGAAAACATAGCCTGAACATATTTTTATCATTTGGATTATCTTTCAGAGTTAGGAATTGTCACAAACTCTGAAAGATATTAACAGTGCTTTCACATCCAAGAGATGAATACGTGACAAGGTGACAAGGAGACAAGGAGTTCATATGGGACCACCAAGGTGTAGACCAGAAGATCCACATGCGTAGATGAAAGCCAGCCCAGTTACTCTCAGCCCTGCAGTGACTGCCTAGCAGAGGGCCTTTCCTTCTCTCATCCAAACAGAGATCCAAATACATAATCCTAGGTTGGTGGCAAAACACTGCACAGGAAAACTGTATAATGATGTCTAGAGAAATATCTGTGTTACTATAAAATCAGGTTTCTGATTTTATTGCCACAAGAAAAAGAAAACTACTATAGGGCCGGGGATTTAGCCCAGTGGTACCACTGCCTGCCTCACAAATGCAAGGACCCAAGTTTGATCCCTGGCACCAAAAAATAATATTTTTTTAATTAAAAAAAAAGAAAACTACTATAGTTATGACCATACATGAGGAAAACTATCCCAACTGGTCAAACTTTTCCTACTGATTTCTTAAATTACTAGAAATGTAAAAACTGAAGTTCATATTAATTTACTGTTGACTCAGCTTCTGTATCTGCTAATGAAGTTTATAGAAATGATTTTCTAAAACCGCTTATTCAAATAAGAGATGAGGGAGCTCTGAAGTTCATCAGGGGTGCAGACCAGAAGATCCATGTGCCTGAAAGAAAACCATCCCAGGTCCTCTCAGCTTTGCAGTGACTGACTCGTCCTTCCCCTGGAAACAGTACCAGCTTTTGAAGATATAATGCAACCTATCAGTCTTCACTTCCCATCTTCTGTCAAAACAAAACATAAAAGCCTCCCTTTTCAGGTTGATTTTTTTCTTTTCTTATTTTCATATTTATTTCTGATTGTCTCACATTTTCAGGACAGTCTTTTTCTCTCCAGCCACAACACATTTCCCTCCTACAGATCATAACTTGGTGTTTCTGTCACAGAAGTGATTCCAGACTCCACATGGACAAACACAATGGACTGATTTTATCCATAACTGCATGCACTGTGTGACTGTCTTGTTCTGATCACATTCCAGGAAACAATTTAGTTAGAAAAATAGCAAAGCAATATGTATAAGAACAGAGCTTTTGGAACAACAGAACCTAGATTCAAATCTGGATTATGCCACTTATTAACACTTGGCCTAGGGCAAATTACCCACTTTTTAAAAGGAATGTCTTCTAGAAAGAAGGTGATACTAGTAACATCTAATTCTTGGAGTTATTTAATGTGAAGTATTTTATTAATTTCCCTATTACATTATCCCTGCAGAGACCGTCTAATCTCGTCATTACTACCATCTATAGACATTTCAGAGCATATCTCATTACTCTTCAAAAGAGAGGCAAATGACTTATAAACAGAGATCTAAATCTGTAATTCTGTTCTGTGATATGTGTAATGCACTCTAACCTCTGACCAAGGCTCTGGAGACATATAACCTAGTCAAATCCTGGTATCAGCATTCTCCAGCTACATGGCATCCAAGCAACCTTAGATTACCTCTCTGTTTTCCAGTGTACTCATTAACAAAAAGAAGAATAATATCAGTAGCAGTCTCATAATATTGCTCTAAGGAATAATAGAGATAGTATATGCAAAAGGATTCAAGACTGTACTTGGCACATAACTACTTAGTAAATATTAGTTGTTATTTCTTCTGTGCTAATTTTTCCCACTGAGTGGTAGAGTGATTAATGAATTTGAAAATTACTTTGCAGCATGCAGGAAGACAATCTAAATATTTGTTATTCATACTATGTTACGTTATGTCTGGGATTCAACAAAATCTCCTTGTTCTCAGACTCTTACTCAAGAGAAGGTCAGTATAACACTTCTTAATAGGCTCTTTTAAATACTGCTTCTAGACAATTTTGTACTAATAAGTTACAGGTAAGAGTTTGTAAAGTGAGGACAGTGAGCCAGACGTGCACCCAGGGCTCCCCTGGGGAAATTATTCTGCAAGGCTCTTTTAATTGTGGTCCTGAATTCAAAATATAAAAGCCTCTGAATTTGTTTCAGCAATTAAACATGTCTTTCAGTGGTAGAACATCCATCATTGTTTAGTAAAAGATGGCAAAATTAAGATTCAACAGATTTATTTAGAGTTCTGTACTATCACTGTAGTGAAATTCTACTGGAGGGACCAATCAGCATAAGCATCATCTTCCTGCTCCCCATTTACTACCTTGACCCGCAATTTAACAGTAGCAAAGGGTAAACTACAAAGGAAGCCATAAAAATCAGAGTGAGAATATTTAAAGATTAATACAGATTCTTCATAAACTCTCCAGAAAACAGAAAAGGAGGGAACATTCTATAAAGCTATTATTACTCATATCAAAACAAGAAAAAGATATCAGAAGAAAGTAAAAGCTAGAAATTAGTATATCTCGTAAATATAAAGTCAAAAAATCTTCCAAAATATTCTAGCAAACTAAATCCAGCAATATATAAACTACAACCAAATATATACACTACAACCAAATGGGACTTATCCTAGGAATGCAAGGTTAGCTTAATATCCAAAAATTAATCACTACTATCAAAATAATACCAAATAAAAAGCACGCGATAATCAAAATAGATATTGAAAAAGCATTTGATAAAAACCTAACAACCTTTTATGATGAAAACACTAATTAAACTAATGAAGGGGACTTCCTTCCTCAAATTGATAAAATGTTTCTACAAAAACTCACACCTAACAACAAGCTTCATGGTGAAAGACTCAACGCTTTTACCCTGATATTAGAAATAAGATAAGGATGTTTGCTCTCCTCCTTCCTGCTCAAAATTGTACTAGAGATTCTAGCCGTGAAAATTAAACAAGGAAAAGAAAGAAAAAAATTCCAGCTGAAAAGGAAAAAGTAAAACTATCTTCATTCACAGATGATATGATCTTGTATTTAGAAAATCCTAAGGAATCTACAAAAAAAAATCTAAGTAACAAGTTCAGCAGAGTTTAAAGATACAAGATCAAAATACTGATATCAATTGTACAGTGGTATAGCCATGAGATTTACATTACTTTAAGGAATATCTGAGATAGTTAACTTTACAAAGAGAAGACAGTTATTTAGGCCATAGCGTGGGACAGTCAAGTGCATAGTATCTGAATTAGCTCTGCTCTGATAAGTTCTTCATGCTAAGTGGCAGGTGGTGCAGCAAGTATGGGAAAAAGCAAACAATCTTGAACCAGGGGCAGAGAGGATGGAAGGGGCCAGGCTTGTTTCTTTTATATCAATCCTCTCCAAAGAACTACCAAAGGGTCACATAAAGCTACTTCAGGCCTCAAATGATCTAAGGCTTTGCACTATCACCCAAATCTTAAGAGGTTCCACCACCAGCCAGGTGCCCACACCAGGGACAGAGTTTCTTACAGGTGAACCTTTGTGGGGACACCAACCATGTGCAAACCAGAACAAGTGGCAATGAATGACATAATACAACAACATTACAGTAGAAAAGAGCAATGTGAAATTAAACAAACAATTCCATGTATATTAGCAACAAAAACAATAAAATGCTAAAACTAAATTTAACAACAGAAGTTTCAGACCCAGACATTGGGGACTAAAGAAAACATTGTTGAACTAAGTTAAAGATCTAAGCAAATGGAAACACACCTGACATTTATGGATCAGAAGACTTACTAGTAAAATGGCAATATTGATGTTGATTCACTGTAATCTCTATGAAAATTTGAAATTTTTAAAAAAGAAACTAAGCTCATTTTCAAATTCATATGGAAAAACAAAGAACCGAGAATAATTAATAGAAATTAGAAAAAATAGAACAAAGTTGGAGAACTCCCATTTCTGAATCATTACAGAACTTATTACAAATAAGATTACAAACCAAGATAGTCTTGTACTGGTATAAGAATAGATACATCATAAATCAATAGAATAGAATTAAGAGTCCAGAAATAAAGCCTTTTAAGGAAAGTCAATTAATTTTCAATAAGAATGCCAAGATAATCCATAGGAGGACAGAACAAATGGTGGTGGGCCACTCAGACATCCCTGTGCAAAAGAATACCATTGCACCCCTACATTATACCATGTACAACAACATCTAATTCAAAATGAAACAGACCTACCAGCCAAAGCTATAAAAAATTATGACTTTGGGTGTGGAAATTGCTTCTTAGACATAGTATCAAATCACAAGCAACAAAAGAAAGAGTAGATAAATTGAAAAGTCAAACCGTTAAACTTTTATGCCTCAAAGGATATGATCAAAAAGTAAAAAAAAATCCACAAAATTGGAGAAATATTTGAAAATCATATATCTGATAAAGTAAATAAATTAAGAAACTCAGCAAGGTTGTAGGATATAAGACCAATGTACAAAAATCAGTTGGAAAGTATTTAAAATATATAAAGAGCTTTTAACAACTCAATAATAAAAAGAAAACCCAATTAAAGAATAAGCAAAGAATATAAGCAGGCATTTCTCTAAAGGAGATAAACAGATGAGTTATTAGCACATGAAAAGATGCTGCACATCATTAACCATAAAGAAAGGAAATCAAAGCCCCAATGAGAAGCTACTTCACACTTACAAGAATGTCTATGATGAAAAAGACAGGTGAAAATAAAGGGTTAGGATGAGGGGACACTGCTGATGCAAACGTAAAATGATATTACCTTGGCAAACAATGTGATGATTCCTTAAAAAGTTAAACATATGCTCACCATATGACCTGGCAATTCTATAACT